TGCCAGACAGGGAAGCGTGATTCGTCACTCTAGAGTCCAGTGGCGGTGTGCTTTACACCACTGCATCTGACTCTTTGCATTGCGCTTGGTGATGTAAGGCTGGGATGCAGCTGCTCGGCCGTGGAAACCCATTCCATGAAGCTCTCTACGCACTGTTGTTGTGCCAATCTGAAGGCCACATGAGGTTTGGAGGTCTGTAGATATTGACCCTGCAGACAGGTGGTGACTTCTGCGCACTGTGCCCTTCAGCATGCACTGACCCCGCTCTGTCATTTTACATGGCCTATCACTTCCTGGCTGAGTTGCTGTTGTTCCCAGTTGCTTCCACTTTGTTACAATACCACTAACAGTTGACCGTGGAATATTTGACAAGGAAATTTCACTAGTGATGGGCTCGGGCGTGTTCGCAGCTCCACGTGCCGAGCACGCCAGGAAACTGGCAGCGCCAATCACAGGTACTGAGACATATCCCAATCTCTGCAGCTGCGGGCTGGGATAATGTCTCAGTACCTGTGATTGGCCCTGCGGCACTGTCAGCTTCCTGGTGAGCTCGGCACGTAGAGCTGCGAACACGCCCGAGCCCATCACTAAATTTCACGGATTGACTTATTACACCACCTATCACAGTACCACGCTTGAATTCACTGAGCTCCTGAGAGCGACCCATTCTATCACAAATGTTTGTAGAAGCAGTCTGCATGCCTAGATACTTGATTTTATACACCTGTGGCCATGGAGGTGATTGGAACACCTGAATCCAATGATTTGGAGGGGTGTCCCAATACTTTTGGCAATATAGTGTATGTTAGTGGGAGGTTCAAAGGGGAATTCCACTTTTCCAGGTGAATTTGGGAAAATGGAATTACACCCTCTAATCTGGCCTACTCTTCCCCACTCCTGCTATACTTACCTTTGGGCGAACACTACAAAATGACAGCTGGGAATAGCAGCAAATGTGACCAGGGAGCTGCAGGGAAAGAGGAGGAGCTGGAATAACACACAAGGTACAAAACAAACCCTGGCTGTCTAAATGACAGCTGGGAATAGCAGCAAATGTGACCAGGGTGCTGCAGGGAAGGAGGAGGAGCTGACAAACCACACAAGGCCAAAGCATTAAGATTAAGTTTTCTTTGGTCATGTGTAGTAAGCCAATATTCCCATCTGGATAAGGTTTAAGGGTTAGGGACATGTACTAAAAGTCTTTCATTTTTAACTTTAACATTGAGAGCTCTGAACCAAGAACTACTGGGCATGCTTTACCCTGCCAAAAATAGATTAGCTAGTTCTATCTCATTCCTAAAGTGACACCAAACTCAGGAGTTAAATCCTAAAAATCATTCAAATCCCTTAACTATTAATAAAAATGTATCTTATTTGTGTATCACTCGGCTGTAGATCCTCCAATCATCTCTGAATTGGTGCTGACACTGTCCTTCCTTCTGGAGGGTGGCTACTTTTGTTCCCCATGCTTCCTGTGTGTGTTGTAAAGTAACCACCGCTCCAAAATCACTCCTGTGATGGACTACAATCTCAACACAAATTAGTAAAGTAAACATGAGATTGTAGTCAGTTACAGGAGCGAGCTTGGAGCGTTGGCTACTTTGCAACACAGGGATCATGGGGAACAAAAGTAGCCACAAAAGACAAAATTACGGAGTAGTACTATAGGGGTATATTTATAAAAGACTGAATGCTAGATTCCATTTGGCATAAAGCAAAAGGAAATATATTGAACAGCTGGTCAAAACTGAAAAGCAGCATTTAAATTTGCTGCCATGAAATCTTTACAACTAAGGCTTATCCCTGGAAATAAGAGACAGCTATCATCTTTGTGTATTACTTATGTAGATGGCTGCTACTTTTACTTCTTCTTGGGTGTTCCCCAAACTATAGCTCACTGGTTGCCATAAGCTGGCCTCTGCAATGAGAAATCCCTGCATGCAGGGCTTTTTCATTGCTAGGTGTAGGAAACCGACGAACGTTGTAAAGCAGAGTCATTTCTTGTCTGATAGTGCCCGTATTGTTCCTGCCATGACATTATTATGAGGAGTGGTGCAATACATGGAGCCTACACAAAGCCACTGAACAGTAATCCTGGGGAAACTCTGAATCCCACTGACACCAATAATGTTGCATTTATCACTTCCTCTTACAAAATTATAGGTCATTTATTACTCCTAGGGAGACCAATGATGTGGCATGTATCAATGTGGCATCTACACCATGAAGGGGCATTTACTACTTCTCCTGAAACCAATGATGTGGCATTTATCACTTCCACTTACACCATCATGGGGCATTTATTACTCTCAGTCAATGCTGCAGCTGTGCCAATTTATATTTGTGTGTTGTAAAGTAGTCACCGCACAAAGCTCCCTCCCATGATGGACTACAATCTCAATACAAATTAATAAACTAAACATGAGATTCTAGTCCATCACAGGAGCGAGCTTGTTGGATCTCCAGGTCCCTCCTGCCAACCTCCACATGACTACTGTGTCCTGCTGTAAATGTCTGCAACAAAATCTTCTGCTTTTTAACATATTAAAACAGTTTAGACTTTTTTTTGTGCTGAGGAATTAGAAATTGATTTGAGTGGTTGCGATCTTTACTATCTGCATACTGCTCCGGTGTCAATGATTCAAAGTATTGAAGCCAGAGGGTCAGCATTTTGAGAATAACCCTTTTACTGCCAGGGACGTAAGGCTTACATCAGAACAGAAATCTTTCCAGCTCAGGAAGCCACCATATTCTGCTACAAGCTTCAACCACTATGAACTTATAGCAGTATACCATTCCCTGACTCTGCTGAAGGCATGAATAGCTGGGACCAGGTGACACGCTACTGATCAAAATTGTGACCCCCACACTGCCCAGAAATGTATGGCTCGAGGTAGGGACGCCACACTGCCCAGAAATGTATGGCTCGAGGTAGGGACGCCACACTGCCCAGAAATGTATGGCTCGGGGTAGGGACCCCACACTGCCCAGAAATGTATGGCTCGGGGTAGGGACCCCACACTGCCCAGAAATGTAGGGCTCGGGGTAGGGACCCCACACTGCCCAGAAATGTATGGCTCGGGGTAGGGACCCCACATTGCCCAGAAATGTATGGCTCGGGGTAGGGACCCCACACTGCCCAGAAATGTAAGGGAATAGACGCGTATGACGGGGGGAGTGCACAGGGAATAGACGCGTATGACGGGGGGAGTGCACAGGGAATAGACGCGTATGACGGGGGGAGTGCACAGGGAATAGACGCGTATGACGGGGGGAGTGCACAGGGAATAGACGCGTATGACGGGGGGAGTGCACAGGGAATAGACGCGTATGACGGGGGGAGTGCACAGGGAATAGACGCGTATGACGGGGGGAGTGCACAGGGAATAGACGCGTATGACGGGGGGAGTGCACAGGGAATAGACGCGTATGACGGGGGGAGTGCACAGGGAATAGACGCGTATGACGGGGGGAGTGCACAGGGAATAGACGCGTATGACGGGGGGAGTGCACAGGGAATAGACGCGTATGACGGGGGGAGTGCACAGGGAATAGACGCGTATGACGGGGGGAGTGCACAGGGAATAGACGCGTATGACGGGGGGAGTGCACAGGGAATAGACGCGTATGACGGGGGGAGTGCACAGGGAATAGACGCGTATGACGGGGGGAGTGCACAGGGAATAGACGCGTATGACGGGGGGAGTGCACAGGGAATAGACGCGTATGACGGGGGGAGTGCACAGGGAATAGACGCGTATGACGGGGGGAGTGCACAGGGAATAGACGCGTATGACGGGGGGAGTGCACAGGGAATAGACGCGTATGACGGGGGGAGTGCACAGGGAATAGACGCGTATGACGGGGGGAGTGCACAGGGAATAGACGCGTATGACGGGGGGAGTGCACAGGGAATAGACGCGTATGACGGGGGGAGTGCACAGGGAATAGACGCGTATGACGGGGGGAGTGCACAGGGAATAGACGCGTATGACGGGGGGAGTGCACAGGGAATAGACGCGTATGACGGGGGGAGTGCACAGGGAATAGACGCGTATGACGGGGGGAGTGCACAGGGAATAGACGCGTATGACGGGGGGAGTGCACAGGGAATAGACGCGTATGACGGGGGGAGTGCACAGGGAATAGACGCGTATGACGGGGGGAGTGCACAGGGAATAGACGCGTATGACGGGGGGAGTGCACAGGGAATAGACGCGTATGACGGGGGGAGTGCACAGGGAATAGACGCGTATGACGGGGGGAGTGCACAGGGAATAGACGCGTATGACGGGGGGAGTGCACAGGGAATAGACGCGTATGACGGGGGGAGTGCACAGGGAATAGACGCGTATGACGGGGGGAGTGCACAGGGAATAGACGCGTATGACGGGGGGAGTGCACAGGGAATAGACGCGTATGACGGGGGGAGTGCACAGGGAATAGACGTGTATGACGGGGGAGTGCACAGGGAATAAACGTGTATGACGGGGGAGTGCACAGGGAATAAACGTGTATGACGGGGGAGTGCACAGGCAATAAACATGACATCACCTGTTGCTCATGCATGCCTATTCTCTATCACCTTATGTTGATGGCTGAGTGAACAGTCACATGTGTGCATTCTTCATACATGTTATGTGTGAGTTCATCTCTATGGAACATGTGCTTTGATTCTAGCCCACGAAACTTAAATCTGTGAGCTGAAGGGAGAACACTCCACAAGCACGGCTTCCTGGAATATATATGCATTCAGACTGGTAACAATGGCTGAGCTCTCTGAATGCTCAGAACTATACCAGGGGGTCACGTGTGATCCAATGAGCTGGGAATACACGGGTCAGTGTGTGTACACAGCGAATCTGCCAGTGAATGGTGCAGGATGCAGTCAGTGAATGTGCTGGGAACACTCTACACATTGAAAGAGAAGCCTGGTGGTGAGCTAGCAGTCAGAGATGTGGACCCTGCACACAGTCTCCGTCCGGCATCGCTCTACTCACCGGAGTCATCGGTCACATATGGAGTGGCCATCTTGGTCCTCTCACCACGTTCACTTCCGCCACCGGTGTAACGTGAAAGCGGGCATGCAAGAATTCCCAGTCTGCGTGCCCGCTCCCGCGCGCGTCCCCCTGCTTAGAGTGAACACTGCGCATGCACTCCCGTTCTGCAGGCGGCGTCGCTGCTCACGTGATGCGGGCCGCCGTCTGCCACTATACTCTGAGAATCACAGTTGTAGTACTGTGTAGTAATGTTTTGTGCAGCCACGTTGAGCCGTGGCCTCTCCTCTTATCAATGTATCTATGTAATCAATGTAAAATGTAATTCTTAGTTTTGGATAGTATAGGGAATGGATGAGGTGACCTTGTTGTCATCAGAGGGCCACTTATAAAATAATTCCAACCTGCAGGAGAAGCGTTTATTTACTTACCTTTACAGCCATTGTGAAAAGCTGCAGCTTCATTCCGCAGCCACTGCAAGCATTCTACTGTCAGTTTTGTTAAATGCTTGCTCCCCCCCACTAGCAGTTGTGGTTCATTCCACTGACAGCGCTGAATACTGAAAAATGGCCTGGATGGGAAGGGGGTTTAACACCGCGGATGTCAACTGGTTAAAATCACTGTAAGTTTTTTTTTCTATGTGTTTAGTTGGGGAGATTTCCCCTAACTTCCTGTTCCAGAGGCATAATAGGAAGTGAGAGGAAATCTTCCAAAAGTGAGAAAAAAAATATGTGTATGCGTAATAGATGTCCCCATTTTTCCTCACCTCCACTCTCCACTTCTGGTTAGAACCCTAACGTTTTGGATTTTCCATCACTTTATGGCCCAGTGACAATGGTGACCAAGACAAATGGCCAGCAGAGACACAGACAGCCATGAAAACCCATCAGAAGTTCTAATTCTTCCACTTTATCCCAATAATTGGTTTTGGATATACTTTAACCCCTTCATGACTGAGGCCCTTTTTTCAATTTTTGCACCCATGTTATATTCCACATTTTAGGCCTGAAAATGACGTAAAACCCCCCAACATTATATATTTTCTGAATGCCAAGACCCTATAGAATAAAATGGTGGTAGTTGAACATTTTTATGTTGCGCAATATTAGCGCAACTCCTTATTAAACCCCAAAATTTAGTGACAAATTTAATTAAATGCCCCAAAACACAACAAATTACCCATTTTTAAAATGAAATATAAAAGATGAGGTTACAACGAGTAAAACGATACCCAACATGCCCAGTTTACAGATTGCGTGCGACCGTGAAACGGCGAAAAACTGCAGTACCCCAAAAAGTCAATAAAAGACACTTTAAAAGCCCCCACAGGTCATCAATTTAGAGATACCCCAAAATACTGGCCCTAGAATTATTGCTCTCACTCCGGCGTGCGCGGCGATACCCAACATGTGTAGCGCGTTCGTCGTTTTCATGCGTAGGCGCACCCGACGCGTGTTTACGTGGCGACGCGCGTGCTCGCGGGGGCGGGGTACTTTTTAAAATTTTTTTTTATTATTATTAGATTTATTTTATTTCATTTTAATTTTAAAAACTTTTTTTTTTTTTTTTTTACTTTACTTTGACTGCTATCACATGGGGGGGCTTGCAAGCCCCCCCATGTAATAGCAGATGGTGGTGACAGGTCCTCTTTAAGGTGATGCTGGGGGTCCAAAAGACCCTCAGTGTCACCTTTACACTGGAAATAAGCTATTGAAGTGCAGATCGCACTTCAATAGCTTATAGCTGGGCTGCAGGAGCCCAGAACTGACAGCCCAGGGACCGGAAGTGATGCAATCTGCATCGCTCCCGGTCCCATAGAACGGGGAGGGGATCGATGAACGGAAGTTCGTCGACCTCCTCCCCAGCTCCCCGCGGACACAAAGATCGCCGGTCCCGGGCCCGTAGGAGGGGCAACGGAGCCCGGGAAGCACGGCGGGGGGGGGGGCGGCCCCTTCTTCGGGACGCAGAAGCGATGTGGCGACAGGTAAGTCGCCAGGATCGCTTCTGTTGTAAAGCCGACAGTCGGCTCTACAAGTTTAAACAGAGTCCCGGCGGCAAAAGTCGCCGGGAGTCTGTTTAAACAGCCCCGATGCTGGCGACGTACACTGTACGTCGTCAGTCACGAAGGGGTTAAAGCACTTTTTCAGATTAAAAGAAAAACTTCCTTTGCATTGGGGCCACCCTCGCACTGCAAGGCTTAACTGCTCGCTTTTGTCTGGGGGGATTCTTTAACCATATCGCGACCAGTGACGTACATAGCATGTTACTGGCAGCGGGCCCATTTAAACAGACTGCTGTCGGCTTTACAATAGAAGCGATTCTTCTAAAGTGCCCGCCCGTCACCCCCGCCATGTTTTCCGGGCTCCGCTGCCCCTCCTGCAGGCCCAGGACCGGCATCTCAGCATGTCAGTGGGAAGCTGGGGAGGAGAGCGGCAAACTTCCATGTCCCCTTCATGGAGATTTACCCTCTTGTCCTGGTGACTGTTAACACAGAAAAGGAAAAGTGAAATAAAATCCCAAATTTTGGGTAATCATTAGAACTTGGAGATTAGAGATTGGGGAGGTTTCCCTTCACTCCCTGTCTGATAGCGATAACAGGAAGTGAGAGGCAATCCCTCCAAAGTGAGGGAAATCTGTGGTGGTCAGCAGGATCACTAGAATTAGGCCCCTTCTAGACCGCCTTTCCGATCGGGTCCACCTGTCAGTTTTTTAGGCAGACCTGATAGGATGCCCAGTGCAAGTCTATGGGCAGCTATGTGTAAACGGACGAGCGTCTGTTTACACCCAGTTTCCACAGACTCATGCTGGATAAAAAAAAAAAAACAGACAGAACAGTGTTCCGTTTCAACTGACCCAATCGGAGGTATTCTTATGTAAATGGACACATCTCCATTTACACGTATTCCCCATAGACACACACGGGGTCTGGCAGTTTCAGTTTTTTCCTCCATCGCAAGATGTACGGACGTGGTTGTAACAGCGGTGACATCTGCTCCGTACTGCTGCGATCAGGAGAGGATCCGTGCTCCTGATCAGCCTGTGTGAAAGGGACCTTAGTGTCCTCATTGGAAGATTTCCCATCTATTCCTTTCCTGGTGATAACCCAAAACTTTTCTTTCTTTCACTTTCAGTGATAATGATCACCAGGACAAATAGAGAGGGCGACTTTCCATAATGGGAATTTCAGCAATGAAAAGATGACAGGTGTTGTAATCCCTTCTCACTCAATCCAAAACTAAAAAAGGTTTTGGCTTAAGTTGCACTTTAAAATAACCTTAGAAAGGCAGTTAGCAACCGCCGCCCGCCGTCTGCACACGCCGTCCACTCTCCAGGCCGACGTCCGCGTCATCCCATCCAGGTGAGTAACACTCGGGGTGCCGCTCTCAGCGAATCTGCCGCTCCAGGCAAATGCCTTGTTTGCCTCGCAGCAGATACTGCAACATATGCCCCTGCATCAGGTTGGCCAGGATTTTCAGCAAATTAAGCAATGACATGGGGCAGTACAATTCACACAAATCAGTATCCTTGCCATATTTAGGGAGAGCAATTATAAATGCAGCTTGTAGTGAATCTTAAGTAAGCTTTTGTAGGTAGACCTCAAGTAGTTTGGGAATCTTCTTTTCCAAATTGAGTTCAGACCGTTCAATAGGTAGGTCATCAAGGCCTGAGGTTTTATTTGCGGGAAAGAGTTAGATGACTGTTTTATTTTCTTCCTCTGTAAAGGGGTTATCTAGGTAGGTTTGGGCCGGTGTCAGGATCTGGATGTTGTTTCTAGACAACATCCCAAACTTGGGTTTTGACAGAAATGCAAGCAGCTTGCCATTTTCCCTCCATGTTTAAAAACAGAGGCTGTTGGTATAACATGTGCTTTTGGGTTAGATTTATATTCCTATAGGTTTAGTTCCCTGTGTATCTTTATCAGGGTTTTATCATTTATTTCAGGAGTGGTTATAGTGTATTTTCTTTCAGTCCTAGTGTAGATGGTCTGTAATTATGATATGTATTAATAGACTTTATGAATAATACCCTCATATTTGCCTTAAAGGCATCCCATTAACTAAAGACATTAGTAGTTCTCAGTATTGTTGGCCATGGTTAACCACAGTGGGCCTCACCTTGATAAATGGCCTGCTGTAGAGGGAGCCACAGCGAGGGTCTGTTCTATGTTACTAACACTGGGAAGGAGATCCAATGGATAATCTATGCATGACAAGGCTCTATATGTTTTTGAATGGCAGGAGTAAATCATTTGATATTTCCAGGGACATAAACCTGTAAGGGTCAGGGCACTAAACCAATCAGTTAGGAACTGAGGTTTGGAAGAGAGGGGGCATAACCTGTCTGAGGGTTTAGGGTCAGGTTAAAATCTCCTAGAAGAAGAGTAGGGTCAGTGGGAAGGGAGAAGAGTTTGTGTTTAATATCTTTAAATAAGTCACACACACACACGTCTCACACGTCTCACATTTCCTGCTGGGTTCTCCTTTTTGTTTGTAAAATTTGCAATTGTGCTCCACACCCCAGTCCCCCATTTTAGTTGTTGGCAATGTTGCCTGGCTAGCCTTTATGCATTTATGTGGGCTTTGGCTGAGAGGACCTGACTAACCACATGTTACTTTTGACCTCTGCACATTACCTACCCCTGCACAATGTGCATTACTCATTCCTGGCCCCTGCATGCTGTGCGTTACGCACTCATAACCCTTACTTAGTTTCGCATTCCTGCTCAGTTACGCACTCCTAACCCCTGCACTCTGTGTTTTGCACTGTTGCCCCAGAGCAAAGTACGCTTAGGTTTTATTTGACCATACCCCTTAAGATTCTCCCACTATTCATAGCACACCGAATCATTGCTCTCCTCAGGGTCCCCAAGGTCTTTCACAATCCTAGCACCACCCTTGGTTAGCTGAATTAAGGGTTTGTTGTAACACCTTGCAATACAACATAACATAATGACGTGTATAGTCAGTAAAGACATAAACATTTAAAAGGCAGATGTCAACAAACCCTTGGAGTATGAGGTATACGTAGAGTTGAAGCCATGTGTGTAATTTCTGTCCCACGAGATGAGTTTCTTGTACACAGATGATATTAGGTGACAGGGTTTTCTCTTAAATTTCCATTAAAGCCTCTGATATT